GCAGGAGCCTGCTAGAGGTGACTGAGTCCTTCGGCTGATATACCTCAACAAGGAGCTTCCAAGCTTCCAAGGCTGTAGCGGCGCTCTCTTTGCATGAGCGTTTGCCGAGTTGCTCCGCAGGCGTCATATTGCGTAGCAACACACTGTACGCCATGAGGGATCCGCTGTAGTACTGAGCCCGAGCGTCTTCGGTGTCTTACACCGGTTTAGAATAGGAGCCGTCGAAGTAATGGTAAATCTGCGCCGTTTGTAGGAGCTTGAGCTCAAAACTCCATATATAGAAGTCCTTGCGGTCAAATGCGCCAGTAGTCTTGATTTTTGAAATGTTGAGAAAGCGTTCTTGCGTAGAATTGATGACTTCATCACTTGGACGGGGGGCAATTGTTGCTGATTTGTCTGTGTCGAGGGAGAAGGTGTGCGTGGCGGTATCACTGCTGTTTGTGGCCGGTTGAGCAGGTTGTGCTGGTTGCGAGAAGGTTACCACATCGCCTTTGTGCAATGCTTGGAGGTCTTTCTCCATAGTTGACAGTCTCGAGAACAACTGGTCGAGCGCAACTGTGCTTATAGTAGTTGTTGCCTCATTTTTCGCAGCCAAGTTGGCATGCCTTTCGGCCGTCAGATTCGTTTGGCCTTCAGGTCCTCCAGCCATCTTGGCTTTGGAGTGTGTGCCGCTCGCTAGATCTTGGTTCACCGAATTTCACTGAAGTGAAGTTGTGAAGAATCCCTAAATAGCACTCATACCATGCTACAATCCCAAATGGGACTTCATGGTTGATCGCAGTAGTGTTTCAGCGGAAGTGTTGACCTCAGGTCAGAGTAAATGTAAATGATTCGGATGATATTAGCATGCATACATCGAGTTTATATAGGAAATACAAAGGAATGCGAAACGACCTAGACTAGCCATGAACTCTAAGAAATACATTCCCTCATTACAACGAATTCAAACCGTGCGGCGCGGGAACCCGTTTCAAATCCGTTGTAGCTCTTTTCATTTCAAATGCTTTTGCCTGCATCAGTCCTGGTCAAGCGGTTGATAGTGTCGCTTCGACTCTTTTGACTCCTCGACTTCGTACTCGGTAGAGTCTTTCGGGAGCAATGTAGCACGCCAGGATGCTGAGAGGGTACGTGATGCCAGGTCGAGTGCACATCATCAAGTACATGAGGCAACCCACAATCTCTGGATACAGACCACTCGGCTCTACAAACTCGTCCGAAGGTGGAGCTTAGAGCGAGTGGCTTGTTACAGAGGAGTGGACTGTGGCGAGCAGAACTGAAAGCGGAAGCGCTGAAGGACCTGCTGCACCATGTGCGACTAAGTCAGAGTGATGGTGCGATCTGCTCTGTCCCGGGTGGCAGCGAGACGAGGTACAGTAGTCGCAAGGCACTCCAACTCAAACTGCATGTCCTCAAGAACGTCATAACCAAGGGCAAGCCCACCCCCGACGGATAGAGGACAGGCAGTGTCAGAGTCAGAAACGAGACTTGCAGTGTAGTTAAGGCGACACACAGCGTCTAAGTCTACGAGCTCAATGGCCAAAGAAGACGCATCAGCAGACTCAAACGTAGGGTGTGTGACAAGTGTGGCTAGTAGACAAATGACAGTCCGACTAGCAGCACAAGCAAGGTCAGACTTTGGGTTAGGAACGTGGGGAGGGAGGACTCAAGAGACAACGGAAGAACCGGACGCTGTGCAACAGGAAGGACGACGTGCCATAGTGTGCTCATTGGGAACAGGAGGAGGGTGAACACGGCGAGCACGAGAAGCACGAGCACGAATAGGCGAGGTAGTGGGAGAGAAAGCACGAGACTCAGGCTCTAGATGCTCGATCAAGGATTTGGGCAACAGGGAGTAGCGTGAAGGAGCAGGTAGAGGGAAGTCAGTAGGCTACGGCGAGTGAGATGGGTCAAGCGGTGGAAGCAGCAAAGGAGGAGTAGTACCAGCGACAGGGAACTCAATAGCCGCAGGTGGGAGACTGAGAAGGTGGCGTAGCGCGGACGGCTGCTGCTCACCAAAACCTCCAGTACCGCCGGCTCGAGTACCTCTAGCACCTCCAGCGGCAGCACCTCTGGTACCAGAACCTCCAGCACCACCAGCACCTCCAGCGGTACTACCTCTAGCACCGCCAGCTCCAAAACCTCCAACAACTTCAGCGGTAATCCCTCTAGCACCAGAACCTCCATCACCGCCATCTCTATCACCTCCAGCGCCAGCAACGACAGTACCTCCAACACCAGAGCCTCCAACACCACCAGCTCCAGTACACCCAGAACCAGCACCCCCAATAGTAACACCCCAAGTACTAGCACCTGAGTCTACCGCGTCAGGCTATAGAGGCGGCGAACACGGCTGAGATCGGAAACCAAGAGGAGCCTCTAAGCGTGGGGAACGACAAGAGACCGGCGTGTCGTCAGCAACAGAGTCACCTCGCTCAGCCAGGCCGGAGGGGCCCAAAGAGAGGGAGCAGGACGTGAAGGGGGGGGAAGGATCTACCGTAGGGTTATAATGAACCAAGAAAAGAGGGGGGGCACTGGGAAACTGTGGTGGCGGAAGAGCCGGTAGAAGGAGACTCACTCATCGAAAGTGATGTTTGAGATAACAGGATGCGACGCATGGCCGGGTGGTAAAACTGACAAGGCAGGGCGTTGGTGGGAAAGCTAAGGAAGACGCAGCAAAGAGTGCCAGGAGAGAGCTTGCCCGCGAGAGGATCGCGGACGAGGTTAAAAGAATCCCAGACCCGGAACTCTGACGCATCACCAACCTCCCCCGTCCAGAGTAGGGTAGGCAAGGTCTCCTGCTTGGAGACACGGGGCCTAAGGTTAAGGGCCACAAACGGCAAACGGCCACAGAAAATGGGGAGTAGCCGCATGGATCATAGGGGTGCGACCAACCTCCATGATCAAGCCAATGTGGCCCTCAGAAATCCTATTCTGTTATGGAGAGGCCGGATGATGCCTTTCTCAGGACAAAATTCCTCAAGAAGATGGGAGGAAGACTCACCGCCGCGGTCGGAGTGCAGACGGAGCAGAGGGAGGTCTTGTCGGAACTGTGTGCTTAGTTGGCTACGAACATCACGGAATTAAAGCCCACAGCCCAAGTTCAACCTTACTAAGGTTGACCATTGGGTGGTGGGGGAGGTGGAGAAAGAAAAGTCGAGGTGCTGGGAGGGTGGGTGAAGTTGGTTTCGCCCAGATTTTCGCCACGCTTTGTTTTTTCTTGCTGACTCAGCAAACACTAGGGGCCAGCTCGCGTTCAGGTGCGAGAGTCCCATGTTCCACAGATAGTAATATTGAAAGTTTCCCGCTGCTCACGTTTTGCGAACCCAGTGCAAGTCCGCTAGCCAATCAAATCTCTTCTCACATTTTGAACCCTAATTTGCAGAAGAAAAAAACATAGCAACGCAAGATCAAGATTAGTAAGGTTGACTGGCGCGATCCGCAACTTGGGCCGCGGGATTTAAGGGATCAAATCAGTGTGGACGTCGCCCGTACGCCATAAGGGAAACACCATGGTGTAGCGCGAGAAGTCATCAACGACCAGCGGGAACTAGCGCTCTCGGTCTGGCCCAAGGACGGGGTCTGCGCCCCACATATCTATGTGCAGCGCCAGTAGATAAGCAGTGGTCGGAGGAAACGAGGAGTGAGGAGCAGCGCGCTGCCGCCCCTCGACGTAAGAGCGGGGGAAGGTCGGCGGCACAAGCGACCGAGGGAGTAGGTGTCAAGAATGAAAGTGTTGGTTCATTGATGTGGGTTGGGGTACATATAACAAACCCTAACATCTGTACCCCCTAAGACAAACCTCACTACAGGCTACAACATTTGACACACCCCCATAGCCTATGTGAGGAGTGTCAAGCAAAACCAAAAGTGTACGGTCACAAGACTAGTCACAAAGAAATAAAGCTCAGGGTGGATCACAACGTCACCACACACTCTGAGCATAAGCAACAGGGGCCACAAGGCCAGTTCGAGAGTTCACAAGTGTGTATAGCAAGAGTACAAGCAAAGGAAATAGTAGACTCAAGCCTATACACGACTAGAAACTGTGTCAACAAGGCCTAACTGCACACAACACCTCAGGTGTTCACAAGGCAGAAGCGCCTTGGTGAAGATGTCTGCAGTGTTGGCCTCAGACTCCACAAACTCGAAGCGAGCCTGTCTACGTACGTGCGGTAGTAGTGAGTGATAGGAGTAGAGAGAGAAGCAGTGAAGGCCGACTTAGGGAAAGACGGAAGGAGAGACAGAGACGAACGAGGCGGACTAAAACGAAAGAGGGTAGTACGAAGGTTAGTAACGAGAACAAGAGACGAGGGATGAGCACGAGGGGAGCGACGAGAGGCCCAAGTCTGAGGAGGAGGGGACAACAGAGGCTAAGAACGAGGGAAAACAGCCGGGGAGGGGTCAGGAGGAGGAAGCGGAGGACCCGAGATGGAAGGAGAGGGGGAGGAGGAAGGAGAGCAGGAGGGGAGACCGAGGGTCCGAAGACCGGAGACAGGAGGAGGAGGCGGCGGCTGTTGCTACGGCGGCGGGTGCTGCTCCTCCTACTGCTGTAGCAGCTTCAGCTGTTGCGCCTCCTGCTGCTGCAGCGGCTCCAGCTGCGGCTGTTGCAGCTGCTCCTACTGCTGCTCCTCCAGCCGCTGCAACTCTCTCTCCTCTCTCTCCAACTCCACCTGCTCCTCATGGGCATGGCGAAAAAGAGTCTGGTGCCATGTCGGGTAGGGGTGGGGGGGAGGAGTAGTGTCGGGGGCTGCGGCAGCCCCGGGACCGCCCTCCAAAGCACCTCGCGCACCACCCCTAGAGTCAGCACCACCAACAGCAACACCCAGAAGACAAGAGTCTCCTGCAACCACGGGCTCAGCTCCAACTCCAGCACCCCCACAGCTAGCACCTGTAGGGCCCTCTCCACGAGCACCGGCTCCCGCAGAGTGTGCAGCAGGCTACAAGGAGGACTGCGGGGAAAGAGGCTGCACCTGAGGGGCTACCGAGGGGGGAGGGGTAGCCTAGGACACACCTGACGGGGCGGGACCAAGGGGGGGAGGCTGTACCGGGGGAGCAGGAGGGGGAGCGGAAGTCAGGAAGAGAGGGGGAGGAGGAACCGAGAGACCTCGACTGGGGTACCTGACGTAGTAGGGGGTGGACTCCTCAAAACAGACATCACGGGAGTCAAAGATCCGGGAGGGAGGGTGGTAAAAGGTGAAGTCAAAGGAGTCCTCAGAGAAACCAAGGAAGACACAGGAAACGGCGCGAGGCAAGAGCTTGTCCGCGGAAGTGTCGCGGACAAGAGCCAAGCAACCCCAGACACGAAACCTTGACGCAACACCAGGGGACCCGGTCCAAAGACTGGTCGTTGAAGCCTCTGGTCGAGAGACGCGTGGCCAGAGGTTCAGCTGGTGAGCGGCGTACCTAACCGCGTAGGGCCACAGAAAATGGGGGGCGCGGGTGTGAGTCAAGGAGGTGTGGGCGATCTCCATGACCAAGCCTATGCGGCGCTCAGCAACCCGATTCTGCTGTGGGGACTCTGGAAGCATCCAGAACTGACGAATGCCCTGCTCGCGACAGAATCCAACAAGAATGCCGGAGCGAAACTCACCCCCACGGTCAGAGTGAAGACAGCTGACACGACGACCACGAGTGCCCTCAGTGGTAAGCAACCACCTGATCAGCGTAGAAGTCACCTCAGACTTCTTTGCCAGGGGGAACACTGTGGCGTAGCGGGAGTAGCCGTCAATGACCACAAAAAAGAAACGCTCGCGCTCAGGGCCAAGGCGAGGGGCGGGGCCCCAAACGTCCAAGTGGAGCGTCTCAAAAGGCTCGGTGGCCGAACGAAGGGAGGAGGAGTGAGGGGTGGCGCGCAGCCGACCCTCGACGTAGGGATCGCACGGCGGTGCAAGTGAAGGCGGCAGCGACGGCAAGACACGCGGGAGGCCTAAGACAAGACGCTGACGAGACATAGCGCGCACACGAGGGAGGGACGGGTGCCCCGTCCGGTGGTGCCACAGAACGCTGGGGTGTGCAAGCGACTGGCAGGAGCACGACGCATCAACTGGACCAAACACGGGAACCTAACCAGACACAGCTACCTGGGGGGACGCAGCAACCTGGTGAGACGCAGGGACCAGACTGGGGGAAGTAACTGGGGCCGGGAGCAGGAGTCGCTGCTGCTACTGCTGCTGCTACCACTGCTGCTGCTGCTGCCGCCGCCGCTGCTGCTGCTGCTGGTGCCCACCAGGGCCAGTGTGAAGTGTGTAGAGACAAGAGCCCGACTCGGTAGTAAAGGTGGCAAGAGGCGAGTAAGTGTCGCCGTCAACACAAACCGCCATCTCACCAGAGGGCTCAATCCACACACCCACATGCTGACTCACGAGAGGCCTCACGCCCAGCAAGTTCCTTGAGAACGAGGGGATGTGGAAGCCAGTTAGAGACCCAGAGGGAATAGCAGGGCAAGGAAGAGTAGTAGTGTAGCAAGTAGTGACTGGTCCCGAGGTGGGATCAACCAGGGCCACAGAGACTGGCGCAGGAAGTGGAGTAAGTATCGTGTGGTCGCGGAAGAAGCAGTGCGAAGCCCCAGAGTCCAGAGTGAAAGACAGCGAAGCGTCCTCCGAAGTAGCGCCTAGACTAGTGTCTACACAAGTGCCTACACTAGCAATAGGTAACTCAGCAAGACTAGCACCTAAGCTAACAACACTCGAGAAAACAGAGTCAGAAGCACTAGAGTGAACAACAACATACATAGCATGAGGAGTTCCTAAGAGATCAAGCAACTGAGAAGCAGACATGCCCCAAAGAGCGGAGCCATACGTTTGAACAAGAGGTAACCAGTCAGGGGCAGGGCCGCCAACGCCGAAGGCCAAGCGAACCGTGTCAGTGAAGTGAGCAAATCACTGACCAGGAGGGTGGGTGCGGCCAGAAGTCTGGCCTTGGCGAGCACCTGTCAGAACCTGATAGGTGCACAAAGGGTGAACAACACCTCGCTGGGCGGTCGCTGTCCCAGCCCCGAAACCTACTACTGCCGCTGCTGCTGCGGGGGCTGCTGCAAGGGGAGGGGCTGCTGCTCCTGCACCTGCTGCTGCCGCTGGGCCAGGTACCACGCCCCTGCTCCACCCACCGCAGCCGGCAGACCAGGAGGAGGCTGACGAGTCCGGATGTCGCCTCCACCAGCTGCAATAGGGGAGTCACTGGCCGCTGCACGAGACGCCTCTCTAGGCCCTGCGCTCCCACCGCCACCGGTCGGCACGCCACCCCCACCACCTCCGCCGCCAACGCCGCCACCGCCGCCGCCGCCTGAACCCTGACAGCCCCTCCTGCCACCCCTACCTCGAGACCGCAACGTAGTCGTAACAGCAGCTGCAGTCACGTCAGTAGTGGCAGTGGCAAGTGAGGCAGTAAAAGTGGGCAGCTGAGGGACAGTGCACCCGTGAAACAGTGGAGGGGGCACAGCACCAGAGGCGGAGGCTACTGAGCGGAGGTTGCTCTCGACGTCCTTGAGCGCAAACTCAAGGACCTCGATAGTGAGCTCACTAAGGTGCTTCAGAAGAAGCGTGTCACGAACCGAGGCAAGGCGGCCAGGGAGGCTAGTGGCAATGAAGTAGATAGTAATCGCCATAGGAGGGGGAAGCAGTGCAAGCTGTGCGTTAGTGCAAGTAGCACGGTAGCAAAAATCGAGGGAGCGGAGGTGAGCAATCAAGTCAGCAGAGCGCTCAAACGAGGCGAGGTCAGGGAACAAGAACGGTAGGAAGAGGCGGCCAAGGGAGACAATGGTGGGAGTAGCGTAGCGGGCCTTGATAGCAGTGCGAGCCTGAGTGAAGTGGGCCTCCTCAGACTCAGGGAGGAGGCTACTAAGAGCGATGCAGGCCGCAACGTCACGCGACTTCCACGCCGTCAGGTCAACACGCTGGCGGGTAAAGCGGTCTCTAGCGGCGTCGTCAGGGGCAGGGCCTAAAGGCGTAGGGTCGTGGGGCGTAGGAAGGTCACCAGTAGCGTGCGCCCAGAGGGACTCGCTCGCCTGGACCTGACTCTCTAAAAGGCGACGCGCGCGTAGGATCTAGACCGGAAACTCGAGCGGTCTACCGTTAGCGTCAAAACGAAAAACACTAGGGGTCGCCATAGCAAAAGCAAAGAGGTGGGAAGTGCTGCTGCTGAAACCCTAATCACTGAGAGCGACTCTGTAGCGCGCTACAAGACATAGGGTAGGGCGCTGTAGTGGGGTAGCCCACAAGGGGTACAACCCAATTAGGGTTAGTACTTGTACCCAACTCTTTCATAGTTCAATCATTCTCGTTTCTCATCATGGTATCGAGCAGGTTCCCCAATGGGAATGCTGCCTAGGGCCCACCACGATTTTTTTTTTTCCCTTGCCCGGAGCGCGCTTCACTCCTACCCGAGTCGCGTTTCGTGTGCCCTACCTACCCTCGAGCCGCCCTTAGTGGCCCCTTTGGCCGCCCTTACGGCCCCTTGCGCCGCCCTCTAAGGCCCCTCGCGCCACCCTTACGGCCCCTTACGGCCCCCTATGGCCCCTCGCGTCGCCCTCTAAGGCCCCTCGCCCCTCGCACCGCCCTTACGGCCCGTTACGGCCCCGCCTAGGCCCCTTACGGCCCCTTCGCGGCGCGTCTAGGCCCCTTGCGGCCCCATCTAGACCCCTCCGCGGCCCCGTCTGGCTCCTTACGTCCCCGAATAGGCCCCTTACGGCCCCTCAGCGGCCCCGTCTAGGCCCCTCCGCGACCCCGTCTAGGCCCCTCCGCAGCCCCGTTTGGCCCCTTGCGGCCCCATTTTGGCCCCTCCGCGGCCCCGCTTAGGCCCCTCTACGGCCCCGTCTGGCCCCTTTACGGCCCCATTCAGGCCCCTTCGCGGCCCCGTCTGGCCCCTTACGGCCCCGTTTAGGCCCCTCAGCGGCCCCGTCTAGGCCCCTTTCAGCCCCGGCTAGGCCCCTTTCGGCCCCGCTTAGGCCCCTTTCAGCCCCGTCTCGGCCCCTCTGCGGCCCCGCCGCCACCTGCGCCCCCATCGCCGCCACCTACGGCCCTGTCTCCGTAACCCGCAGCCCCGTCGCCCTACCCTAGCTGCCCCATCACCGCTCTGCCGCCCAGCGACCGAGCCGCCGAGCAGCACAACAGCCGAGTCGCCCGCCTACCAAGCAGCTGAGCCGGCCAGCAGCCAAGCCGCCCCGCAGCCGAGCCACCGAGCAGCCGAGCCGCCCAGCAGCCAAGCCGCCCTGCCGCCAAGCCGCCCAGCAGCCGAGCCGCCCTGCAGCCGAGCCGCCCTGCAGCCGAGCCACCCTGCCGTCGAGCCGCCCTACTGTCTAGCAGCTAAAGTTCCTACCGGTGCTCCCCGGCCCCTCCTTCCTCGGACTGGTGAGCTCACTTCCTCCTAGGCCACTGCACTCATGGCTACCCCCAGTGTCCTCACTTTTGATGCTGAGGGCCGTGCCGTTCACTTTGAGGTCTGGGTCGATGACCTCCAGCTACTTCTCCACTGCGATAGGGCAAACGGCCTCTCCCTGTTTGACCTAACTTCTGGTGCCTCTCCTGCCCCTGCTGCTGATGCTGACGCCACTATTCGCTCACAGTGGGCCACGCGCGATGCTGCTGCTCGCCTTGCTGTGCGCCGCCACTTACCGACCACTGAGCGTGCACACTTAAGCCAGTACAAGAGTGTTCAGACCTTGTATGACGTTGTAGTTGCACGCTACTCTTCCCCTGCCACTGCTGCACTGAGCCGCCTCATGCTACCGTACCTCTTCCCTGACCTTGCTGCCTTTCCCACAGTCGCTGACCTCATTACGCACCTCCGCACTAGTGACACTCGCTACCGCGCTGCGCTTCCTGCTGAGTTCTGCGCCAAGAACCCCCCCCCCCCCCCCCCCCCATGTACATCATTCTCTACTACATAGTCACCCGGCTCCTTGACTCTCTTCACATAGTCAGGGACCACTTCCTCGATGTTTGCCCCACCACTCTCATCGCTGACCTCCTCGAGAAGGCCCTCCTAGCGATAGAGAAGAGCATAGTCGCTGTAGGAGCCTCTCGTGGTGACCCTTGCACCCCCGTCTTTGAGGGGTATTCTCCCTCCCCCCTCTTGTCCTTTGTTGCCTCTGTTGCTGCGACCGACCTCGTTGGTTTCAAGTCGGTCGGCACTGCGTCTGCCCCGAGCAGGAAACGCCGCACCGGCAGGGGCAAAGGGGGCAAGGGCACTGGAGGGGCTGGAGGGGGCGGTGGAGGTGGTGGTGGAGGCAGTGGAGGGAGTGGGGGTGGTGGTGGGAGTGGTGCCGGGGGTGGCGGCGGCGGCGGTAGCAATGGAGGAGGCGGAGGCGGTGGAGATGGAGGAGGGAGCGGAGACAGCGGAGGTGGCGGAGGAGGCGGAGGCGGCGGCGGCTGCGGTGGTGGAGCGGGTCACGACTCTGCGCAGAGGAGTGGCTCAGGTGGTGGTCCGCGCCAGCAGCAGCGGAGTGGTGTGACCCAGTCCCCTCAGCAGCTTTGTAAGTGGTACACTGCGCGTCAGCGCGGTGGGGGTTTTGGTCCCTGCGCTTACGTCCTCCGTACTGGCGACCGAACTGGTGAGCAGTGCGGAGGCCCGCACTCCACCCAGCGCTGCTTTGGTCGCCTGACGGATACGTGGCGTCGCCAGTTCCCTGAGGCATCAGAGATCCCTCGCTGGGGAGATCTGACTAAGGCCGGGGTTGCTATCTTTGATCTTGACTTTGATGCTATTCTTGCTGCCATGTATGCTGTTGATACTAGTGTTGCCGGTGACCGTTACCTGTGTGTACCACCTGACCCGGGCATTGAGGCCGCTGCTCTAGGTGCTGGTGAGGCTGCTGCTCTAGGTGCTAGTGCGTCTGCTGCCCCAGATGCCAGTGCATCTGCTGCCCCAGGTGCTGGTGAGTCTGCTCTCTCAGGTACTACGTCGGCTCAGGCCTTCCACACCTTCACCCTTGACTCGGGTGCGTCCCGCTCCTTCTTTCGAGACCGCACGACTCTTACGCCGCTCAGTCGGACGGTTGCAGTCTCCTTAGCAGACCCCTCTGGGGGTCCTGTCCTTGCTAGCTTCTCCACTGTCCTACCGTGCCCAGCAGCCCCCTCTGGCACCCTGTCTGGTTTCTACCTCCCCTCGTTCTCTACGAACTTGGTGAGTGGAGTGGACCTACAGGATAGGAGGGTTGACCAGTTCACTCCTGCGAGTTAGCGAGTGACCCACTGCACGTGTGCTCAGACAGGCCGACACTTGGCCACGTTCACCCGTCGGCCAGGGTCGAGCCTGTACACCCTTACTACTGAGTCTCCTCCTACTACTGAGTCTGCCCAACTAGCTGCGTCAAGTCAGGTGTTTGCTGCGGCGTCCAGGTCTGGTCCTGAGGCTGCTCCGTGCTCGTATCGTCTGCTGTCCCACCAGACTCTCCTTTGGCACTACCGCCTTGGTCACCCCTCCTTGCCTCGTCTCCGAGGCATGGCCTCCTGTGTCCTTGTCTCTGGTCTCCCTCGGTCTCTCCCTCCCCTTCCTGTTGGGCCTGGTCCTACCTGCGTCTCCTGCGTCGAGGGGCGACAGCGCGCCGCCCCTCACTCCTCCGAGTTTCCTCCGACAGAGGCTCCGCTGCAGACTCTCCACATGGACGTGTGGGGCCCAGCCCGCGTCGGTGGGCAGGGGCGAGAGCGGTACTTTCTGCTGGTGGTTGACGAATACTCGCGTTACACCACAGTCTTCCCCTTGCGCAGCAAGGGTGACGTCAATGAGGTGTTGATCGACTGGATCTGCGCAACTCGTCTCCAGCTCAGAGAGAGTTTCGGCTCGGACTTTCCTGTTTTGCATCTGCACTCGGACAGAGGCGGGGAGTTTCCTCTGCCCATCTGGGAGCCTTTTGTCGTGCACAGGGCATCCGCTAGACCTTCACGCTTTCGGCCTCTCCACCGCAAAATGGGATTGCTGAGCGCCGCATTGGCATGGTCATGGACGTCGCTCGTACGTCCATGATGCATGCGGCTGCCCCCCATTTTCTGTGGCGGTTTTCGGTTCAGTACGCCGCACATCAGCTCAACCTTCAGCCCCGGGTCTCCTTGCCAGAGACCTCCCCTGCCTTGTGGTGGACCGGGAAGGTTGGCGATGCGTCTGCGTTTCAGGTCTGGGGATCTCGGGTGCTTGTCCGCGACTTGTCTGCGGACAAGCTGTGCCCCTGTGCAGTTCCCTGCGTCTTCCTTGGTTTTCCCCCTAACGCGCCTGGATGGCAGTTTTACCACCCCACCTCGCGCCGTGTTCTGTCCTCCCAGGACGTCACCTTTTAAGAGTCTGTACCTTACTACCGTCTCTTCCCCTACTACAATGCGCCTCTCCCCCTGCCGCCGCTCTTCCTTACACCATGTCCTCCACCGGTAGACCCCCTCCCTCCTCAGAGTCCTGCCCCGTGAGGTGTGTCCTAGGTAGACACAGTCGAGCCTGTCGAGGTAGCTGTTGACTCTGGTGTTGCTAGAGGTGCTGAGTCTGGGGGTGCTGAGACTGGGGGTGCGGAGCTTGGGAGTGCTGAGCCTGGGGGCGCTGAGTCTGCTCGTGTGGCCGCCGACGGTGCTTCGTCGAGGCGGGAGCCGCTCTCTCCACAGGAGCTGTGCGAGTGGTTTGCCCGCCGCTGGAGACGTGCTACTGAGACTGCGGGTGCTACTGGGGCTACTAGAGTTGGTCCTGATGGAGCTGCTAGCGGTGCTTGTGCTACTGGAGCTGAAGTTGCTAGGGGTGTTGGCGCTGGTGATTCTACTCGCGCTGGTTCGTCTGGGGTGCTACTGAGGCTGCTCAGGCTGACGGTCCTACTGGAGTTGGTGCTGCTGGAGCAGGAGCTGCTGGAGCTGGAGCTGCAGGGGGTGTCGGCGCTGGCGGTGCTGCTAGCGCTAGTGCTGCCGCTGGGGGTACTGGTGCTGTCCTTGCGGGTTCTCGAGGCGCTGCGCGGCCGCGGCCGTACTTCGTTCCGCTCCTGGAGTAGGTTCTTGGTCTCCCGCCTTCTTCTGGTCCTGCTCCTTACTTAGAGTCTCCACAGCCTGTCCAATCGCAATCACAGTTACAGCCCACCTCCCCACTGCCTACTCCTTCTCCCTACACTGGTCCTACTCGAGGTCTTGCTGAGCGTCGTGAGCC